ATGAGGCAGACCCTGTCCAAGCTGCTCACCGGGACAACAGACAGCACCACCGGCAATGTGTCAAGGTCAACGGGAAGGAGGTCAGTGGTCTACGGGATACCGGTGCAACCATGACATTGCTTCAGAAGCACTTGGTGTCCGAGGCCCAACATACTGGAGACACGGTAGCAATGCGAGTAGCCGGAGGTGCTGTGTTTCGCCTACCCGTTGCCTGGGTACATTTGGACTGGGGAGTGGGCGCTAGACACGTGAATGTGGGGTCATGAAGGATTTACCAGCAGATATCCTCCTTGGCAACGACTTAGCACCCCTTGTTTCAGCCTTCGCTCCCATGGGTCCCGCTGAAGTGGACGCTGTCACGACTGATGCCGAGACCCGTGCCACCGAGACCGGCCCACCTGCTCACCCAGGTAAGACTCTCTACCCCGACTTGTACCTTAGACCAGGTGCTTTAGGCTGGTATACCCCAGAGATGTATGGGAAGGAAACCAGGGAAGACCCGACTTTAGCGAAGTACAGAGCCAGTGCCGATTCTGGGGGAGAAGGGGTGGATGGGGAGCGTTACGAGTGGGTGGGGGATAGGCTGTACAGGATCCCTAAACCATCCCAAAAACCGAGTACCCCTCCGCAGAATCGACAGCTAGTGGTGCCTGCAAAATACCGGCAAGAGATTCTGCGGATTGGGCATGATATGCCATTAGCGGGCATCTAGGCTCCCACCGCACAGCTCATAGAATCACCCAACACTTTTTCTGGCCTAATTTTAACCGAGATGTGCGGTTTATTGTAGCACGTGTGACACATGTCAACGGGTAGGTAAACGGGGGGATCACCCAAAGGCTAGGCTCCAATCGATGCCTATCATTGGAGAACCTTTTTCCCGCATAGCCGTTGACATTGTGGGTCCATTGGCCAGGGCTAGTCCATCCGGTAAGAAATATATTCTCACCGTGGTGGACTATGCCACATGTTATCCAGAGGCAGTAGCGCTGTCTAATATAGAGGCAGAGATGGTTGCTAATGCCCTGGTTAAAATTTTCACTAGGGTCGGGTTCCCTCAGGAGATTCTCTCCGACCAGGGAACTCAGTTCACCACTGTGCTTACCCAGCAGCTGTGGAAGGTGTGCGGCATTAAACCGCTGCTTAGCTCACCTTATCATCCACAGACTAACGGTCTTGAGGACCTTTACTGACACTTGCAGAGACTGGGAGCGATTCCTGCCTCATCTGCTATTTGCATACAGAGAGGTGCCCCAGGAATCTACAGGGTTCTCCCCCTTTGAGTTATTCTATGGGAGAAAGGTCCGCGGACCCCTGGATCTCATTAGAGGACACTGGGAGGGGGAGACAGAGCAAGAGGGAACCCCCAAAGTACCATATGTCCTGGAACTCCGGGACTGCATGGAGAAACTGTCCCTGATGGTAAGGGAGAATCTCCAGGCGGCCCAGGGGAGACAGAATAGGTGGTACAATCGGGGTGCCCGACAGCGGGTCTTTCAGGTTGGGCAAAAGGTTCTAGTGCTCAAGCCTGTGAAGACGAACAAGATGCAAGCATCTTGGCAGGGCCCGTATAAAGTGTTAGCTCAGGTATGTGATACTACCTATCTTATAGCCAGCTGTGCAGATGAAAGGATTCAGCGATCCTTTCATGTGAACATGCTGAAGGAGTATCAGGAGAGACCAGAGGATGTTGCGGCCGTATGTGCCCCGGCTGACGACGACCCCGAGAATTTACCCTTACCCGACTTGTTAGAGAAGGATCCCCAGACTGACCTTACTAGTCCTGTGCAGCTAGGGGACCGGTTAAGCCATGCAGAGAAGGTACAGGCACGACAGCTTCTGTGGGAGAAGCAGGCGACGTTCTCCCAAGAACCCGGGTACACTACCCTAGCTGTGCACAAGGTCGAGACACCCAGACAGAATCCCC